CATATGCTCCTATCGAACTGGATTTCCCCTCCTCATTCAGTGCTTAAAAAGCCCTAAATCCCCTTGAATTTCATTTCCTCTGGTCCTCGAGGTCTATCCCCGGTTTCGGTCTCACCCACGTATTTTACATACTCGTGTTCACAGCCTTGGTGTGAGATTTCTGCCAGTTTTGGTGTTGTCCCTGCAGACTGCTGGACAGCCCAAGCCCTGCTCAGAGCAGCCACTGCCCCAGCTGGGAAATGACCCATGGCCTGGTCGTGGCTCCACTGGGAAACAATGCTGGGAGAGGCTTCATCCCAACATCCCAACCCTCCCTGTGAGGGGGCCAGGCTGAGACCAGGTGCTGGATCCCTGACCTGGCAAACTCATCACCACCACCATGCCTATAGGGTGCTGAGTGTCCCCAAGCTGTGCCTGAGAAAGGACTGACTCCAAACTGTCCCCACTTCACATCCCCAGAGCAGGTGACTCACATTCAGTCGTGCAAATCAATTTCCGTAGCGGCTTTTCTCCCCACTGTGACAATTTTGTCCCCTCAAGGATCTCCCTGCCAGCCCCGCTCCCCTGGGTCACACTGTCTTGTTTCACTTCTCTTTTCTCATTTCACAGAAAAAAAAAGTAGATAAAGCTGAAAGCTGGTGACTGTATCAGCTTTCAAGGTCACAGGCAGTGGTGCTGGCAGCAGGTTCCTCTGCCTGGAAAGCCTGTTCTGGCCTCAGTTCCTCCTGCCAAGGTGGCTGCTGGGGCCACGGCTGGCAGGAGAGCGTGGCTGGGGGCTGTATGTGGTGACTGGCTGTTGCAGCAGTGCCCAGCGTGGAGCGTGACCTGCAGCTTCCTGCCATGGCCACCTTGGCCCTCTGGCTTCCTGCCACTGGCCTGCTTCCCGTGGAGGTGGGCACCAAACATGTGGGCACGAAGCAGGGAATGTGCACGGGGCAGATGTGCACGGACTGACTGGGACTGGAGCTGAAGATGTGCACAGACCAGGGGAAGGGGCAGAAGGGCCAGGTGGTACCAGCTGCCTTGGCCTTAACAGCATCATGAGCCCTGGGAGGAGGGCAGGGAAAGGTGGGTGAGGGCTGGGCCTCAGCCTGGAGCAGCAGCAGCAGCAGGGGCTATTCCTGAGAGCTTCCTGCTGCCTTGCCAGGAGATGCAGGTTTTGTGGGACTGGGCAGGTTCCCTGCCTGAGGCAGGCGGGAGTTGGGAGCTGACCAGGGGGCTCACAGGGGTGGCACACATCCCTCCAGGACCCTGCAGGACTGGCACTATTGCTCTTGCTCTGAGCACAGCAGGACTGCACAGCAGGCTGTTTGCTGGTTTTAATGAGGGTGGTAAAAGATAACACAAATTATGGACCTGTGGGCCGGGAAAGGAGCAGTGGAGGCCCATGCTGGTGCACACAGGTGCGTGTGAGATCCTCCTGGTGTTATCAGCACAAAACAGCTTGCACAAGGCAGAGGTGCTTGGCCTCGTGGTCTGATCCTGTGGTCGAGAAAGCTTCCAGGTCCTGGGAGAGCTGCCCTGAGATGCAAACATGGTGACCACAGTGTGCCCAGCTGAGATCTGGACGCACCATGCAAACAGCTCCACTTCTTCTTTGTTGTGCCCTGCAGAAACGTCCCTTCTTCCACCCTGACACGGCCTGGCTGTGCAGGCAGCAGTGCCAGGCGTCACTTGGCAGTGACCCTGAGGCTGGCATACTCAGTGGGGGCTGTGCCCGGGCTCCTGCCGCGCCGCGGGGCCGGGGGCAGCGGCTGCAGGTCGGCGTAGTGGATGTTGTTCTCCTCCTTGCTGCTCTGCTGCAAAAATGCACACAAATGGGGAATGCTGCCACAAGGAAAGTCTCGCAAAAGTAACCCTAAATCAGAATGCTGAGATTTGGAAGTGACTCACAAGGATCACCAAGACCAGCTCATGGCCCTGCACAGGACAACACCAAGAAGCAGGCTCCTGGCAGGCTGGTGATGCCACAGCTGCAGAGGAGTGTGCAGGGACCACGTGCAGGCACCTGCTGCCCACCCCATGTCCCCCCTGGCCCCAGAGTCTTGCAGGGCTCCTGCAAGCCAGGGCATCAGCGTGGCATGTGCTTCCCCACACTCACAGCTCACTCCTACCTGGCTGGGCAGGTGGGAGCTCCCTGCATCCAGGACTTCACTGCAGGGGGAAGGATAAAGATGGCCATCAGAACTAAAGGAAGCTGGGTCCTTTCCCCACCCAGCACAGTCCTCAATTCCCCTCCCGAATTTCAGCATGATGCCCCTGTTGAAGGCAAGCAGGGACAAAGTGCTGACTGCACATCTGGGCTGGGCTCAGAGACACGGTGAGGGGCTGCAGGAGCTCCCTGGTACTGGGTGCTCCCTACCAAGAAGTTTCCATGAAACACAGAAAGAACCAACAGAACAGTGCACTGTGAGTAAAGGACCTTTTCTGGAGCAAGTTACAGCTCCAGGCAAGAAAGGAAGCCAAGATCAAGCAGGTGGATAAGACAGTTTGCTCATTTAAGGGTACAGAAGGAAGAGGCGCTGAGTACAAACCTGGGGGTGCTGGGGGTCCCTGCACAGCACCCCATGGCCACTGTCCTGGCTGGGCAGGGGCTGCCCACCCCCCCTTGGCGCTTCCTCCTGTACTTGCAAAGGGCGACGAAGAGGCCGAGGAGGAGGAGGAAGCAGAGCACTACAGCTGCAGCCACCATTCCAGGAACCAGGGCTGCCTCTGTGGAGACAGAGGCAGAGCAGGAGAGGGTGGTGGGTGTGGGGCAGAGCAGGACCTCGCTGTGGGCAGGGTGGGGGCTATGGGATGGGCTCCCTAGAAGAGGTGTCCTGCTGGGCTGCACTCACCATGCATGGACACCTCCGTGCCACGGCCATACTGAAACACCTCATCATCACCAGAGTCCCCCTTGACAAACTTCACACAGTAGTAGGTGCCCATGTCCTCAGGCTGAACGTTCCTGATGAGGATGGTGAAGTCTGTGTCAGACCCATTCACTGCTCTCGTCACACGGGAGGAAGGATCCCGCTTGCTCTGGTCATAGACAGTCTTGTTCTCACTGCCCCAGCCCTTCAGCCACATCACAGGACCTGGTCCAGCAATTTCAGACGTGATGCAGTTCAGGGTGAGCGTTTCCCCCACTGCCACCGACACCTTGGCCTGGGGCTGCTGCAGACTGAAGCCCTGATCTGACTGGGTACCCATACCTGAGCACAGAGACAGGAGGGTTCGGGGGTGAGCAATGGGGTGAGGCAAGGGCAGCCTCACAGGCAGAGAAGCCCCAGTATCCCCCAACGTGCAGCTGAGAGATATCCTGGGATGTGGCAGAGACAACATGCAGGCACTGGGAGGGAGGAAACCCTTCAAAAACTGGTTCAAAATTAACAAGGGACAAATCTGAAAAAAGAGCAGGCTGCCCAGGGCAGTGGTGGAGTCACCACCCCTGGAGGGATTTAAATGACATGTAGACGTGGCACTTGGTGACCTTGGCAGTGCTGGGTTAAGGGTTGGACACGAGGATTTCAGAGGGCTTTTGCAACCCAAACAGTTCTGCGATTCTATGTTTTGATAAATCTGCATCCTGTTCTGTCATTTGCAGGAGGTGCTGCAGCTGCCTGGAGGCCAGAGAGGTGCAGAGGGAGCCAAGGGGAACTCCTGGCAGGAAAAACTCCTGAGTGCTGTTAAACATTAACACCCTGGCTCTGCTCCACACCAGCCAGGATCACTGGGGCTCTGCGAGGAATTGGGGTTCACAGCCAGGAGCCAGCCAGGAAACGGTGTTCTAGGCAGGGATGTCCCTGTAGCCCAGCATAACCCCACAAAATCTTGTCCCAAAATCCCTCCTGCTCCCCAAAACCCCTTCAGTCCCCAAAACCCCTCCGATCCCCAAACCTCTCCTGCCCAAAGTCCCCGACTGTATGGCAGCAGCTCGGCAGGGTTCGACCCCGGGGCTGTGCCCACCCCGGGGCTGGGGTGCTCTGCCCACCCCGGGGCTGGGGGTGCTCTGCCCCCCGGGCACGGTTTGACCCCAAAAGGCGCTCGGGGAAGGACCACCCCCCGCCCCGCCCGGTGTTTATCTTTGCCGCCCACTCGCGTTTGTGGTGCTGACGGGGCGGGGGAGCCCCGAGAGGCTTTGGGGGGCCCCAGTTCCGACTCACCCGAGAACTGCCGCTGCAAGGGGCTTCGCTGCCCGGACAGGAGCGGAGCTGCTGCCGCGGCCACGGGTTCTGCCCAAACTTTGGGAAGGAAAAGGGGAAGCGGGACAGGAAATTGAGGCGAGCGGGTGGTTAACGCTTTGGTGTCTGCCCGGGGCGGGCGGGAGCCGGCAGAGCAGCTGAGCATCACCCCCGGTGGGCATCACCTTGCCGAGACCCGGCGGGCATCACCCCCGGTGAGCATCACCCCCGGCGGGCATCACCCTGCCGAGACCCGGCGGGCATCACCCCCGGTGAGCATCACCCCTGGTGGGCATCACCCCGCCGAGACCCCGGCGGGCACCACTCCCGGGCCCCCTGGCACCGAGCGGCTGCCCTGGGCTCGGGACAGGGAGCGGCTTTGCGTCCTCCCCGGTTCGGTGAGGAGCGGTGCTTCGGGATGTGGGACGCTCGGTGTACCCCGGGCACTGCTCTGCACCACCGACCCGTGGGAGACACCATCCCGCACCCCGATCCTGCTGGCAAGGATCCTGCTGGGCGTCCCCTTGGCACCCCCGGCTGCGGAGCCGCAGGCTGGCCGTGTGTGGGGGAGCGTGCTGGAGCCGGGTCTCTCTTGCTGGCTGCTCCGTGCCTGTGCCCGTGGCTGTGGCACACATCTGAGGGGAAAGTGGGGGTGGACATTGCCGTTATGGACCAGCGCTGTGACACGAGATGATGCAGGCATTGAGAAGCAAATGGGACGTGATTGCATGGAGGAACTGGGCTGGTGGTGGCCCCTTTCCTTCCCCTTTGCTGCGTAAGAGACCAGCACCCTGCTGAGACAAGCCCAGTCCAACCGAGCCCAGTGCAGCAGAGTCCAACGGAGCTGAATCCAGCTCAGCAAAGCCCAGCCACCAGGGAGCAAGGCGTGGAATACCCATGGTTCTGGTGGCACAGGAACTGCCTCTCGTGTGCCTGATGCTGCTCCTGCTCTGCAGAGAGCCGGGTAAGTGGGGCCTGCACAGCCCCATCACATTTCCCATGCACACTTTCCCACCCTGCTGGCCTGGCAGTGCTTCCCTGTGCCAATGGGTAGCCAGGGATCTCCTCTTGCTCCCTCTCTTCCAGCTTGCTTTTATCTCCAGATGAAATTCAGATTACCCAGCAAGAGTCTGGGCTCTCCTCATCCTGCAGCCTGGAGGACAAAGGACAGGAATATCTCTCTGTCCCCTGATCCAGGCTCAGGGGGTCTGATGATGCCTTCTGCTGTTCCCCAGCCCTGGGGCCCACTGTCAATTCCAAACCTTTCTGCTTCTGTGCTCAGGTGTGAATGCCCAGGTGGGCCAGGGCTTCAGTCTGCAGCAGCCCCAGGCCAAGGTGACGGTGGCAGCAGGGGAGACGCTCACCCTGAACTGCATCACGTCTGGAATTGCTGGACCAGGTCCTGTGAAGTGGCTGAAGGGCTGGGGGACTGGGAACAAGACTGTCTATGACCAGAAGAAGCAGGATCCTTCCTCCCGTGTGACGAGAGCAGTGAATGGGTCTGACACAGACTTCACCATCCTCATCAGGAACGTTCAGCCTGAGGACATGGGCACCTACTACTGTGTGAAGTTTGTCACGGGGCTCACCGGTGATGATGAGGTGTTTCAGCGTGGCAAGGGCACCGAGGTGTCTGTGCAAGGTGAGCGGGGCTCTGGAGCAGCTCCTGATGGGAAGCAGCCAGTGGGCTCTGCTCAGGGAGAGCAGGGTTGCTCACATCCTCTGTTCCCGTTGCAGGTGCCAACCCTCTGTCCAGCCTCCTCCTCCTGCTGTGGATGGGTGTCCTGCTGGAGAAGGGGCTCCTCGGTGGGCTCCTCTTCTTCCTCTTCGAGCGCATGAAGAGAAAAGCATCGGAGATGTTGCCCTACCCTGCTCCACCTGCGGCCCCCGCAGCCGGGGCTCGGGGCTTGGCCGCTGCCAGCAGCGGTGTGTGAGCCTGCAATAAAGGAGCCAGCATGCAGAGCCTGCCGTGGGCTGCTCCGCGCCGCCAGCCCCGGCCCCGCTGTGCCCTGAACCCGCCCTGCGCTGGGGCTCGGCTCTGCCGTCCCCGGGACTCCGTGCTGCACACCGGGGCTCGGCACGGCAGGGCCCGGGACTCCGTGCTGCACACCGGGGCTCGGCACGGCAGGGCCCGGGACTCCGTGCTGCACACCGGGGCTCGGCACGGCAGGGCCCGGGACTCCGTGCTGCACACCGGGGCTCGGCACGGCAGTGCCCGGGACTCCGTGCTGCACACCGGGGCTCGGCGCTGCCGTCCCCGGGACTCCGTGCTGCACACACGATGCCCGGTGCTGCCCGCTCTATTGCTCGGTGCTGCCCATACCTGAGCCAAGTGCTCGGTTCCCCTTGTTCGGTGCTCGGTACCCCGGGCCCAGTTCCCGGTGCCTGGTGCTCGCTACCCTATACCCAGTGCCCCCTGCCCGGTACCCCGTGCCCGATGCCTTGTACCCTGTACCCCATGCCCGGTGCCCGGTGTCCGGTGCTCTGTGCCCAGTTCCCCGTGCTCGGTGCCTTGTACCCTGTACCCCATGCCCGATGCCCGGTTCCCGGTGCCCGGTGCTCTGTTCCCGGTGCCCTGTACCCGTGCCCGGTGCTCTGTGCCCGGTTCCCGGTACTCTGTGCCCGGTTCCCGGTGCCTGGTTCCCGGTACTCTGTGCCCGGTGCCCTGTGCCCCGTTCCCGGTGCTCTGTGCCCGGTTCCCGGTGCTCGCTCCGGTGCCGGGCGGATGCAGTGCCACATCCTGGCCGCCAGGTGCCGCTGTTTGCGGTCCGGGCTCCTCGCGTCGCCCCGGGTGTTTCCGGCCGGGCGGGTTTGGCGGCGCACGCGGGGGCGGGGCGGGGCGGCCCGGCGCGGTTTGGGCGCTGCACCGCGGCAAGATGGCGGACAGGGAGGAGGCGCTGAGGGAGTTCGTGGCCGTGACCGGCGCCGAGGAGGAGCGAGCGCGGTTCTTCCTCGAGTCCGCCGGCTGGGACCTCCAGGTACCTTTGCCGCTGCCCTCTGCCCTCCCCGGCCCGGTGCGGGGATCGGTGAGCCACGGCTCGGGAGGCCGCGGCGCTGGCGGGGGGCAGCGCTGGGCCGGAGGTCGGTGTCCCGCAGGCTCAGGCCTCGCCCCCGTCCGTCGCCGCGCTCAGCCCTGGCGGCGGGGCCGTGGGCTGGCTGAGACTGAGGCCTCTCCTGGTTCTGTCGTTCACTTTGTAGCGCGAGGTGAGAGCGGTGGGTCCGGGGTTATGTAGGTTTTCCTGGGACGCTGGTGAGGCTGTCAGTGCTGTCAGCAAACAAACTGAGGCGAGTTAGCCACCATTCTGACCTGCTCCTGTCCCTGCTCCTCCTCAGACTGGCTGTGTTAAGTTCCGAGTCTGCTCGTGATGGCACAAAAGCTGCAGTTTCAGAGGAGTAATTTTGGCATAACTCCTGTGTAAGTGCTGCAGAAGAAGGGCCCTGACATTCCCTGACAGGCAGGGTGACATCCCTGCAGCACCGAGTGTCCTGCCATGACACAGCCAAATGGCACAACCTGCTGAGGCCTCAGCTCTGCCAGGAGCTGCAGCAGGGGAAGTGACAGGAGGTGTCTTTAGTGTGAGGTGCTTTAGGAGCTCCAGCGTGACAGATGCTTCAGCTGGGTTCTTTGTGTTCGTTTTTCCTGAGGAGCTTTGGTGGTTTTCCTTTCCAGATTGCACTTGCCAGTTTCTATGAGGATGGGGGTGATGAGGACATCCTGACCCTTCCCCAGCCCACCCCCAGCTCCATATCCAGAGGCACTGGAGCCAGGTGAGGAGGCAGCTTCAGCTCCACACTGGAAAGCTGGCAAAGCACACACTCTAAAGCACTGGCTGTGTTCATTTTCAGGAGGAGTAGCTCTGTGTTTGCTTCACCTTGTGTGGCTCTCTAGAAATTGTGAGAACCTGAGTGTTTGTACACTGGCTGTTATTGCACAGCTAAGCCAATCAGGAAAACTTGCCTCATTGCTCAGGAAAAGCTTTATTTACCTTTTGACACTAAAAACAGTCTGATAGTGACCTTTCATTTAAACAGATCATTTCTCAGCAGGAAGAATGTTTTCTCACTTTGTGTGACACCTGAGCTGATCAAGCTGAGCATTTTACAAAACAAAAAAGTGAATTTTATCTTATCAAATCCCTTTGTAAGGGGATGCTGTCCAGTCCCAAAGAGGAGCTGCTGCCTTTGCCATGAAGGAAAGTTCTCTCGGGGGAGGTGCACCTTACCAAATCCCTTTGTAAGGGGATGCTGTTCAGTCCCAAAGAGGGACTGAACTTTTGGCTGCCTTTGCCATGAAGGAAAGTTCTCTCGGGGGAGGTGCAGGTGAACAGAGCCCACCTTGCAGAAGGAGCCTGTTGCAGCTGGGATGTTCCAGCAGGGAATGTGTCTGGAGGCTGACATCCTTCTTGCTGGATTTTTGCAGTGACCACCGAGTAACCTCGTTCAGAGACCTTGTGCATGCACAGGAGGAGGATGATGAGGAGGAGGAGGGGCAGAGGTGAGTTTGCAGCTGAAGGCTCAAATGCTGGGTGTTTATCCTTTCTGGGAGGATGTGCTGCTTGTGTGCAGCTTCTTTGAAAAAAAACCAGGTTTACATGGATATGAAATTCCTGTCATGAAACATTTGAGGTTTAACTGGGCAGGTTTGTCAGTGCAAGCCTGTGCACAAGCACGTGCTCAGCTGTGCAAGCACCAGCTCTCAGCACCGGGAGAAAGCCTGAAGTGGGGTGTGGAAAGCCTGGGTTAAGAACAGAAAACAGCCCAGATCCTCATTTGTGTCCACAGGGAATGGAAATGTGGGAATTATGCAGGGATTGGTTTTCTTACAGCTTGGGGTTTTGGGGGTTTGTGTTGGTCGGGGTTTTGGTTTTGGGTTCTTTTTTTTTGAAGTGTTGCTTGAGGGTAAAGTAATGGAGTGTGGAGTCAGAAATAAAAAAGCAGGGCCCCTTTCCAGGGGGAACATGGAGTATTAGTAGGACAGTGTCCTACAATGTCAGCTGTAAGTAGTTAAATACCCTTAAGGTTGACAGGCAGGGTAAATGGGATGGAACTGATGTATCTGAAGGGGTGGCTCAGCCTGGGTGGGCCGTGGTCTGCAGGCAGCTGGGAGCTCACTCTGTGTGTTACAAGCCATCTGAAAGCTAATAAACCCAATCTTCCAGAAGTGCTTAATTGCACTTCACTGACCGTGCATCCATTGCTTCCAGCTGAGATCCACCCTTTGTGTGGCATCAACGTGTGCCTTCCCTCAGAATTCCAGCTGGATGTTGCTCTGTCAGGTCAGAGATTTGCTGGAGGCCTTGCTCAGCTGGGTAATGGAGCTGGTACCGGTGATAAAACTGGGCTTGTCCCTCTGGGCTGTTCCTCTGCCCAGCTCTGAGCATTGTTACCACTTCATTGCTATTGATCCACGGGTCATTGACAGGAACTGACATAAATAAAAGTCTTTGCAGCACAGGAGCTTGCACGAGGCTGCAGTGGGAGACACGCTGGCCGTAGCCAGTGTTTGTAGATCCAGGGGGTTTACTGAGCTGCCCAAGCACCAAGCGAGCCCTGATGCAGCCCGAGGCTCCTGCAGGGGCGGCAGGCAGGGCTGACAGGAGTGGCTGCTTTCTCTCAGGTTTTATGCCGGCGGCTCAGAGAGGAGTGGGCAGCAGATCGTGGGTCCCCCGAGGAAGAAGAGCCCCAACGAGCTGGTGGAGGATCTGTTCAAGGGGGCCAAGGAGCACGGCGCCGTGGCGGTCGATCGGACGGCCAAGAGCGGCGGCGAGACGAGCAAGCCCAAGGTGAGCAGGGAGGAGTTCTTTCTTCTGTTCCCCGTTTCAGTTAAGGTTCCACCCTGCCAGCTGGTGGGTATTGAGGAGTCCTGGAATTATCTCAGCAGCTAAGTCTGGACTCCTCTTAGTGCAGCTCCATTTTGTGTGTCACAGTGGCAAGAAAAGCCGCTCTGTTGTGCCGCATTTATTAAATTGCTGAAGCTGTCACTGCCTGCAGGGCAGGAGATGTTGCTGATGCCATGAAGTTCCCCCGTTCAGGGGACATGTTCCCCACAGGGGTGGTGGGAACAGGAAAGCAGCTCTTTGGGTCTGTGTGGTTCTTTAACCCTGTGCCTGCCTCTCTCTCGCAGCCTTTTGCAGGGGGAGGGTATCGCCTTGGGGCTACTCCAGAGGAGGAGTCGGCTTATGTGGCAGGAGAGAGGAGACCAAACTCTTCTCAGGATGTGAGTATCTCTGCTTGGGTTTGTAGCTGTCACTCCAGGGATTTCTCTGCTCCAGCTACTGAGCTTGCCAGCCCCGAGAGATACAAAGCTTGATAGAAATTCACAAGGACAGAAATACGGTAAATCCTGCTTCCTGTGGGATTTCCAAGCAGAGAATAATAGATGATAGGTCTTGGGTAAGCAGTTTTCTGGTGATCTTTTAATTAAGAATCTGAGCTTTTCTTAGAAGTGCAGATCAGGAAAAATAGTATGCTAAGAGCATTGGGAAATCAACTCTTCTTTATCCATTATTGTATACATCCAATATGTATCCATAGATGGGAGCTGACAGCATCAGTTCAAGATTCCCTTGTGCTTGGTTTGTGACCAGACAAGGTCGTGGCTGTGGTGGGAGCCTGGTTTAGGCTCCTCACCCAGCACATTCCTGGCTCTTCAGCCATATTTATCCAAAAGGGGACCATGGTGCCACCTTCTAGGAATTGACACCTGACCATTGCATAAAAGCCAGTGCTTTGGGTTTTTCCCTTAGCTCAGAGAAACCTGCTGGAATATTTTTGCACCTTGAAGCTCCTCTGCCCATCTGAAACTTTTCATTTTGCTTCATTTTTTGTTGTCACCAAGATGCTCAGTGAGGCTGATTGTTCTTTTGGGGCTGCTGCAGGTGCACGTTGTACTGAAGCTCTGGAAGAGTGGATTTAGTCTGGATAGTGGAGAGCT